AATGGAATAGTTTGGCCATAATTTTAAAAAAAAAAACTTTTTTCTTAGCAACTGCTGAAACGAAAGGATCAAAAGGGCATTCTATTTGATCGTTGGTAAGGAGTGAGGCAAGGGATAAACATCCATCTCCCATGAAGAAGACAAGGCACAAACTTCTGTTTCTTATTCATCACTGTCTACCGGGTCCTATGAAAAAGAGGGGAAAGTCATTCGATTTTTAGATGTCCAGGTAGACTGAAAGTGCTTTTCTTTCACTATTTTAGAAGGACATAGCTTTTTTCAAGGTTAGTGTTTAATTTATATGTGTGTTTTTTTTAATATAAATTATTAATTCACGATCTATCCATTTTTGTTTGTCATTTTAGGTTCTTTTGAGATAACTTGAGGTCATTGTTAATTGTTATTCATTGAGGAATTACTAAGTTCAGGATGTTACAGCTCGTGAAATTGTTATTGAAAATTATCACAACCACCATTTTGAGCGGATGGATTAAAAAAACAATAGCTAAGCTTTTTTTTAATCAATATAATTTACCTCTTTAGCCATCGATTCGACATTGTTAAACATGCTAATTTTGGCATAAAGAAACTGAATAAAAGAGACTGAATGGCCTAAGATTGATTAAAACTAAATATTTCTAGCACGGAAATGATTAGTTTTCCTTTGTACTAGAATGTATGCCTTGCTTTGGTAAACTGGATTTTTGGTTCTTGAAATGCACAACTTTAGTGAAATATTGTCTCCAGAGATCCTACGACTATGGCCAGAAAAGACCAATTGAATTTTGGCTTGTTTTCACCAGAGGTTGATCAAAATCTTCTCTTGGCTCCATAATTTATAAGGATAAAATGAAGGTCTCACCTTTTGCAAAATGTCTCACATGACATAATTTGAACTAGGTATTATTTTCCGAGAGGTTTACCCTTACATATACAATTCAATATTCAACATCTTTTAGTGTATAAAGATGTTGAATTAAAATTCGTAATTATAGACACATACGTGTAATACATGATGTTATTATAAAATCCATGTTTTGACCCTTACATATACAATTTAATATTCAGCATCTTTTAGTGTATAAAGATGTTGAATTAAAATTCGTAATTGTAGACACATATGTGTAATGTATGATGTTATTATAAAATATAATATAAAATTAAGTGACCAATTATGTACACGTGTCATAGGTATTAAAGTGTCGTAGAAATAAAAGTATAGATACCATAAGTTGTATTTATAACTCGATGAGGGACATAACTATAAACAATTATAATTTGATTTAATATTCAGTTTATATAAAGAGGTACTGGTCTAAAAAAACATGTTAACTTGTTTTACTCTTATCCCGTTAGAGAATTTTTACTACAAGATTTCAATCTATCAATTAATTCAGATACACTACTACATCTGATATTTTATTCATGATGGTTTAACATAATTAAATTTCGATTCATATACTTTTTTTATTATGATTTGGTTCTATTAGAGCCTCCTCCTGACTTTAAGTATCATATTGATGCATAGTCTATCTTGATTGCCAAGTGATGTGGGGATGAGCTCTAGGCTATGATACTTGTCTCAATTAAATCAATATATTATATATACTCAATCGAGTTTAAAATATAATGTTCAAAATCGCATCGATACAGTAGACTTTTTGTATTCTGGTCATACAAGTAAACTTAATGAATGAAATATGTTAGAATGAGAGTTGGATTAATCAATCTTTATTAACTGATGGATTGTGTGTGTTGTGTGGGGAGGTTGAGGGGTCTAGGGACCATTTATTCTTTGAGTGTCCATTCTTGATTGGGGTTCGGAGGCATATTCTAGATCTACGTGGTTTGAATCAGGCGATGCTTATTTGGGAGCAAGAGTTGGAATGGACTGTCACCTATTTGAAAGGTGAGTCACTCCTTGTTCTTTTGCTCAAATTAGCATTAATTTTACTGCATTTGGAAGAAGAGAAACAAGAGATTTTTTGGTGGTCTTGTTAGTGAGAAGCTTGATGTTATAAATGCTATAAAGAAAATAGTTAGATGTAAACTCTATTGAAGAAAGTTTGATAAGATTGATAGTGTATATTCTAAGCTTTGTATAGATTGAGGTTTACTAGACTGATTTTTTTTTGTGAGATACTTTAGTCCTTTGTAGCAACTTTATGTTGTTGTTGTTTTAGATATAACACATATATTTTAAGTGTACATCCTTATAAATGGAAGAATTTAAGTGTACATCGACACTGTTTGAATTTTGCATTTCGCATTTGCAGGAAGGACTGACATAAAAAGTAAAGTAAATTGTATATACCCATTTTTTATTGGACGATATGTTTAATTTTTTTTTATATAATATGATATAAAAAGTAATATTTTGTGATGTTGTGACTTACATAATCATGATATTTTGTTGAGATTTGAGAGTTCAAGCATATTTGAATTTTTGCTTGATTTATGCCTTATATTACGTTTTTGTTGAAAAGCTAGTGTTTTTATAGTACTAGATGACATTAAATACTTCCTTAAGCTTTAGAGCACGACTTGGGATTAAACTAGAGTGTTTGAAAGGATTTTTAAGTAATTCTCGAGTCTTATGATGAGTTTTCTGGGTTGTAGTATTGATATTGTTCATATCCTAGGTGAAAACTAGATTTTCTAGGCCATGATATCCATACCGGATGAACTAGTATCAATATTGGTAATTTAGTTCAGTATCGATACTAGAAGGTTGGTATCCATACTGGATTCTTGGTATCGGTACTAGAAGACTGATTCCATACCAGATGAACTGGTATCCATATTGGAGACTTAGTATCCATACCGAAAGTTTGGTATACATACTAATAGGTATGATATACATACCAAAGACTTGAGATCAATGTCGAAGGTTGTTAAAGGACTACAAATACCCTTGAGAGTGATAAATGACCAGAATACCCTTTTTTGGCATAAATTACCCAAATACCCTTATGGGTTAGAAACTTTAAAAATACTCTTAAAAGGATACATAACGAATGATTGTGAATGACGGATCGTTGCGAAGGATATGCTTGTAAACGAGATGGCGTACCATGCGAATAATGTGATAAAGGAGTCGTGTACCATGTGAACACCGATAAATCAAAGACACGCAAGTTACCCCTCCAATTCAAGGGTGAATCGAAGGGCAATTTGTTGAGAGCGATTAGAGAGTCGTTAACAAATAATGAACCAGATTCGAGTACCGAGCTAATAAATAATACACCAAATGAGTGGAGGTAGTAGTAATCGTCGTAAGAACGTAAAACGCTAAAGACACCTTTAGAGGAAAAAATAATCAAAACGTCCTTGGGTTTTAAATGACCATACTATAATGGTCTAACGAACTAATAAATGTGGAAAGATTAATAAATCCTTGCATAACATTTTAGGTGAGAGATCGAGGGAGATGATAGCAAGTGAGAGGACGATCTCACCTACTTATGTTGTGCTATGATAGTGAGTGGTTGAGCTACATTGTTTTTCCTTGCGTGACATTGATTGATGTGAGTGGCCTGCGACACCTTTTTTATGTATATGTGACTGAATTGTTGTTTGATTAATGAATATCCATAATGTTTGGCTTGACGATTATGTGAGATCGAGTTCCCCTCCATAATCTACCTGAAGGCTATGCGATGATCATGAGATCATTTAGTATGTTGGTAGGAATTTTACCAATGCTTATGTGATATCAGGTTCCCATTTGTGATTAGTATCTGACAGCTATGTGAGACAGGGTACTAACACTGTGTTTGTATGACATTTGTGTGTGTTGCATTTGATGATACATAGTGGTATGGTATTGTGGTTAGAGACTAGATACATGCAAACTCATGGCTAGGCCCTTAGCAGATGATTAACGGAAGCGTGTGACTCAGGTTATAGTAGTAGAACGGTTGAATCTTAAGTAGCTAACGCTTTATTATGATCATACATATACCTATTGTTTATTACCATATCTACTAGCATGCTTATGTTTATGAGACTCATAATACTGCTCTAGATTAGTGATTATACTGTCGAGCGTTGTAAGCTCAACTTTCGGATGTTTTTCGTTCCCATGTTAGCAGTTTGAGCCGTTCGAGGAGTACCATCACAGTAGGATTTCGAGCATCACTTTTAGAGTATTGTATTGTTATTTTTAGAGGACATATATATTCATAGGACCCTTATTATTATATTTAAATTTGTAAACTCTTAGTTATATTATGTTGATATAAATTATGTGTCACGGAGATCCGGTTTGTAAAATTATTTTATAACGGTTGTAGACGTCTTTAAACGAATTTATGTCGTTTTAAATGAAAACAAAAATGATTTTGAAATTTAGTGGTTGCATCGGCAGCCCAATATAGCACTTTAGGCTCAATCGGATTTAGGATGTTACAAAACGTATTGCAAGAGTAGAGAAAAGTGTCACAAGGATAAAGATTCTTATTCAAAATTGAAAAGAAAAAAAATAAGGGGAAAAAAACAAATGGCATCGAATGAAAAAATAAATCAGTGTTGATTGCCTCCTTTTCTATTAATCAGTTTCGGATGATCTCAATTTTTATCCAATAACTCTTGTGTAAATATTTTAGACTAAACAATCTGCATGTACGTGGTATGATTGACTCAGCGAATAACTATTGAAGACGAATATAAGATGATGTAAATATAAGAAAAGATATGAGATAAAGTATCATCGATAAATAAAATTTTATCTTTAGAAGAATGATAATATAGATAATATTCTTAACACTTACTGCAGAAAAATACCAGTCGTCGGTAGTGACAAGGCTGCAGGGAGACGTAAAGTTAGTGTTTAATTCACTTTCTTACAGGAATGTTTCCAAAAGGTGACAAGTTTTGGAACGATGGTCTCAAGGAAAGATGTAATCGGAAAAAGCAACACAAACCTTGTTTTCCCCGAACAATGTCCCATTAAATACGAACAATAAAACATCATTTCCGGGCAAGTTCATCAAGAAAATTGTGCATCTGGTAAACATGGGGGGTTATTCATCAGATGGGTCTTGTTCATTTTTCACTTTGAAGAAACCAGATGATCATTCGTGGGGCGAAGCAGACGATCAATGGATGGAGCTGGTCGGCTTAGTGGAGGATCATAAAACTGAGGACTCTGCTATAAATGGTGGAGTCCCTGAGTCTGTAACAGATCAAGATCAGTTGAATCAAGTAGAAATATCCGAATGTTCATACCACACGAAATCCCAAGGCGAAAGACCGAAACTTACACTAGCTCAGAAAAGAGAGAAGAAAAGACTAAGTGATTACAGGTATAGGCAAAAGCGCAAGGTAAACATACATAGCTTTCTTTCTCATTAAAATCCGATATGGCATCGAAAAATAATACAAATACGATTGCTAAAAAAAGCTTAATGATTGTTTCTCCGAGTGCAGATAACAGCAGATGAATTGACCACGGAGAACAGACACTTGAAAGTGGAAAATGAACGGTTGATTGCTGAGAATACACTGTTAAAATCGCTGCTCGATTCGCTGCTCTGCAATGGTAGAGATGAGAATGATGTTTCTAAAGCTGAAGCAGAACCAAGTTCAAGTTCGGGACAGCCCCTGATGCGGAATGTTAAACCACCAGAGCCACCTGCACAGGATTCGGTACATTTGCGAGCACGAAGAGCTCAGGCCACTGATCATCACAAGGTAATTTGATACAGTAGACATAGTTGCAGGCTTTGCATATGTTTCCACTGATCTGAACTATATTATGGGCAGGCCATGAGAGAACAAATAAGTGAAAGTACCAAGATTCTTAAGGAATTGATCCCTGGTTGCAATAAGGTATACCAATGAAAACATAATTACACTATATATGACATTTTAAACCACTTTTTGACTCAGGGTCAGGGAGCTGTTTTGCTTGATGAGATCTTTAGTTACATTCAATCGTTACAACGCCAGGTCGAGGTACGGATACTTGCATTTATGTTTACATATAACTGTATTCGTTTTACGTTCTGAGACATTGCCGGATGTTACAGTTGCAGTTCTTGTCAATGGAGCTTGCTGCAGTCAATCCAAGAACGAACGCTGCGGTTAAAGCATTTCCTCTTAGAGATGTGAGTACTTTTGTTCAATCCAAAATTCATGTTTAATTTCATCTGTTTTTGGGCTTAGAATTCAAAGTTTGGTAGTGTTTTCAGCTCCTTGGTGAGAACATGAATGAGTTACAAAATCTGATAGAGATGATGCCGGTAAACGAGGTTCCGAATCCCGAAAAACCCAAATCTAGAACATACTGCGATGATGAAACGCCAGTTAACGACCTACTTACGAAGATCGGAGCTGATGAAGAGAGCAATGTGAAGTTTGCAGACTTCAGTGGCCTAGATGGGGATCGCTTAAAACTGGGAAAATATAGTTACCCACACTCTCTGATCCCCACCCTCGAGAGAATCATCGATGCTTACGGCGATATTTCCGTGGCAAGTAAGATGAACCCGATCATTACCGAGACGGTGTACATTTTGTTTTGTGCTTGTGTCAAAGAGATGAATGATTTGCGAATCGAGGAAGTCACCGAGCATATAATATTGAAGTGGAGGGATGCGATCAAAGATGCTTTACGTATCAATTTTGAAGTCGATTTCGCATTAGAACATTTGAAGAAAATTGCCCGAGCTTACATCGGTCAAATGGAACGCCGAAAGGTGAAGGATTTGATTATGAAGATCTCAATGTTGGAGGATGACTTGAGCTCTAAGAAACAAGAGCTTGCAAAGATTTATAAACAATCCAAGGTTTACATTGATGTTGCTGATGATTTTAATGGCAAGTTTGTCGGTTCGGGTATGTTTCAGAGCCTTGATACAACAAGGTGTGCACAAATTAAGTACTTACTATAATTCTAAAACATCCGTACATACAATCATCCCGGCCTCAAAAATACAAATTTATTACAATACAAACACGAATGAATACAATACACGATTAACCCTGGATTAGTCTTTTGTCTCCTGATATGAAGCCGTCGTTGATGTGGGATCGGGCCTTGAATCGCCGGAGCGAGTCTAACTTCCGGCTTCTGAGGGGGCACGGTAACAATGTTTTTGAGGTTATTATTTTCAATGTAACCCATTATCACTTAGCAACCATGGGCAGAATATATAACAGCTTAAATAGAGGCAAAGTCGATGCAAATTATATATTTTAATTAATCGTTAAAGAATCATATATTAGTAAATTATTTTATATGACTTATTAATAATTTTAATTAATTATTAAAAAATATTAATTAACTATATTTATTTTTAATAGCTTTTCTAAATAAGAGTAAAAAAATTGTAAACTTAATTGAAAAATATCACATGCACCATCATGAGACTGAGTCAAAAAGATATGATGCAAGTGTTTATGATTCGACCGTAAGTGTGCAAGGATTCAAACATTTAGATGGTGTACCTATATATCTATAATTTATTGATTAATTTAGATTATAGATGACATGAATTTATTATAAGGATAATATTTTTTAATCTATTTTTCATTTAAAATATTAAAATTTAAATCTTAATCTTACTTAAAAGATCTAATATTTTCTTTGTTAAATTGGTGACGACTACATTATTTTAATCCATATTTATCATTCTATTTTTCAAATAAAAATAATTTTACCACTAATTAAATTTTGCTTTAATACTTAATGATAACAAATTTTATTAAACTATCAAATTATTCTATAATACTTAAAATTAAGTTATATATCAAATATAATTTATAACTTAAATTTTAATATTTAAAATTTTAATTTATCAAACAACACTTTAACTCATTAAGTTTTAATATTTTATAAATTAACTTGAGTTAATTATTAAAACAAAATGTGTAAAGGATATTTTTCTTGTTAAATTCTATTTTCAAATCATTACAGTCAACATTTATGGTAAAATCTAATTAAGAAATCAAAGTTGGTGGCAAAATTCAGTAAAATTAAATAGTTCAATAGCAAATTTCATCGATTATTTTTTTATATATATATTTCTTCACAACACACAAATCTCCAGACGCCATGATGCTAATTTTTATTTATTTTTGAGATATTCAAATATCAATTATTTATACATTTGAGACTATTTTAAAGCTACTTTTATTTATTTGTTTATTTATTCATACATGATACTTTTATTTATTTGTTTATTTATTCATATATGATCTGCTACCTTAAAGTAATTCATCGATGCTAAACATCACTTGGCTGGCATTTTAGGGACTTCTGTAACATCAGGACCGACATGAAAGTTGGAAAAACACATCACCATGGCAAGGTTGCTTTCCTCACTCTTCAAAAACGACATCGTTTTTGACTTGTCTTCCTCGTTCTCCAACTGTATGTTAGAGAAACACATACACAAACACCTTCTCTTCTTCTTCATCATCTTGGTCTTGTCTGTTTTCTTCCCTTCCGGCAGCCGTGATGCATCTACAGAACCCTTGGGAGGAGTATCAAAGGTAGTCGCAACAGAACGTACTCCGCGGTGGTCTTGGTATTACTAGCCATTGCTCGGTTTGCTTTAAAATTTGAATGAGAAAAATGTAAAGCATATATAGAGGGCAGAGTCGATTATTGTTTTGATCACGCAAGTAGGTGGTTATAGAGATTTAGAGCAACATTGGATTAGACAGGAGGGACCCTTGTATTATCCAAAGAAAATACAAGTTAAAAGACTAGGAAAGAAAACGAGGATAAAAACAAATCTTTTAGTACGAGTTTGAGTGTGTTTATGAGTAGAAGCGTACTCAAACCGGTCCAACCCAAATACAAAAATCCATTTCACTAAACAATAACTTGGAAAAAACTGAATTCAAAACCCGATCATACAAGCCAGGTAAACAGACCATTGGACAAGTCCACATGCAAGCTCTTGGATCACACAAGCCTATTGAGTAACCAGACCAGATATGCATAAAAGGAAAATAAGACGCGTCTTTTTGTCTTGAAGGGGTGATGTATGGAATTGCGTTATCTAAGAGCTACGATGCTTAGAATGAAAAAAGCCAGAGAGCAAGAACAAATTAATGCAACATGGGAGGAATTAGTTCGTAAGCAAATATCATAATCAACATGCTAAACATCCAACAAAATTCCGTACTATAGTAGCCAATACGATACAAACAAATTCATCTCAAAATAGTAATTCTTTAGTAGCCGAAAAGTCATAAGTCTAGGCATATTCTCTTTATCTACAGCATTGCCTAAATGCTAAAGTAGTCTTCGAATTCAACTAGAACAAATATTTAATATCGATAGTTTCCACCACCAGGCATGTTTCCACTACCATTGTTTGGACCATAATTACTCTGGTATTCAGCATTGGACGTACCACCTTGATAAGGAGTGTTACCATAGTTTGGGACATTTTGAAAGTTTTGTACATTATCATAGCTAGGGCCGTTTTGGAAGTTCTGATTATTTCCCGACCATCCTTGTTTTGGTGGCATATTCCCCATGCTGTTGTTGGGTGGCGGCATCCCTCGCATATCGTTGTTGGGTGGCGGCATCCCTCGCATATCGTTGTTGGGTGGCGGCATCCCTCGCATATCGTTGTTGGGTGACGGCATCCCTCGCATATTGTTGTTGGGTGGCGGCATCCCTCCCATGTTGTTGTTGGGTGGCGGCATCCCTCCCATATTGTTGTTGGGTGGCGGCATGCCTCCCATATTGTTGTTGGGTGGCGGCATCCCTCCCACGTTCATGTTGGGTGGGGGCATTCCTCCCACGTTCATGTTGGGTGGTGGCATTCCAGCTGTATTCTGCATGCCCTGATTTGGAGGAATATCCCTATTAGGCAGCATGTTCTCCCTTCTCCTCTCATAGTTCCTCGATCTATCATAATTACGAGGTCTATCATTGCGTCTGTTTCTTTCATTTGCTCGAGCATTGTTCCTCACCCATTCCTCATGGTACTTGGGATCGTACGGCACTGCTTGACCATTAATGAAAGGTTCCCCTGGAAAACAACAGCTTATTCTAAGTATTAATAGCTTAAAATAAAAAGCACTCAAAGAAGAAATATTCAAAAGATAGAAACTAAATAATTACCTCCATAATCCTTATTCTTCACATCCAGGTAGGAATCTGGAAGAACCCAACGAACTCCAGGAAGTTCTGAGGGAAAAATAAAAATTTATGAGAATATTTAAAAGAAACTTCACTAAAAAAGCATTGAAGTGACAAGGAAATTAGATAAATTAAGAAATCATGAACCTTTGATTTTATAAGAAAGCTCTTCAGACACAAGAGCTCCAAATGCATAGTAGTGTCTGGTAGAAACAGAATAAATCTTCATCCTCGCTTCATCCTCACTGTATACACAATGCACAAGAAATAAACAGGAATGAGAATATGTCCTCTTTTTCCTTGGATTATTAGAAAATGAGTATCTATAGAAAACATTCACACACATGCTAAAACCCCAATGATTAAATTATACAATACTAAATCATCATGTCAATCAATAGAGCTTTGCTACTAATTTTAATATAACAAACTGCATGAAAATATATCAGACCAAGAAGCCCTGTAATAAAAATTACATGTTTCAAACACTGTAATAAACAATAATGTGCAGATATTGTTCTATCTAATTTAAATCATACTCAAAGAAACAATAACAAAGCAATAAACACTGATTGTCATCGAAGCAGTAGCCTTTAGTCTCACACTCACAGTACATTCATAACATGTAAAATAAAATGATAGAAGACAGGATTGATTAAAACAGAATAAACTAAAACGAATTGCTCAAACTCATATAAACATAAACTACTTGATTTAATATAAAACTAAACAACCAAATAGGAACCCATAATAAAAAAAGCAGCGTAAAAAGGATACCTTCCCACTACTTGAGCTAGAGTTTTGATATAAGAATCAATAATATCATCCCTAGTAGCATCCTCTTTAGGCGGCTCCATCACAACAAGCCAATGTTCAAAATCACAGCCGTCGAGCAAAATCGTTTCTTTCGGGGGTCTATTCGAGTAGTTAGGGTTGGGGTCGTTGAGGGAGGACCTGGCTGCTTTAGTGGAGAACGATTTGACGTATGGGGAAACTGAGTCTCGAAGGAGGAGTGAGTAGCAAGGCGGTGCACGGAGGCGACGGAAGAAGGAGAGGGAAGGCGGTGCAGACGGGGTGATAAGAGTTTTGGTTGAGGAAGCAGCGGCGGCGGATGAGGAAAAGGAAGAGAAAGAGCGGGAGTAAGGGAAGAGGAAGGAAGATAGTGATTTGGGTTTTGAGAGGATAGCGCGATAGAGGGTTTGCGTCGCCATTTTTGGAGGCTGAGAAGTAAGAAGTGTGCGAGGAATAGGTCGGAAATGTAAGGGTTTTTGAAGGGTTTCTTTATAGACGGAGGATAAATATTTTATTTTAGCGTAAACTATATGTTTAGTATCTAAACTATCAACTTTGGTCTGTTTTAGTATACAAACTTTTATTTTTTTCAAATCATACCTATTGTTTAGTTTTTGTTTCATTTTAGTATTTCGTCGTTAAAAATTTAACGAACGGGCTGACGTGGCATAGCTCCGATGGACGGACGACCAGTCTGAACGATGGACCATGAAAGAACGATGAATCGACCAACATAGTCTAGTTTCAGGCCCATCGGGTGGTGGACCATAGAGATCGGAGGATGAAGAAATTGAAAAGTTTATAGTTGATTTGGAGAGATTAAGGTGTTTTCCAGTGAAACGGAGGCTGGAATCACATTTAAGGGGTAAAAAAAGTGCAAACTGGAATGTTTGGGCTTCATTGGCCGACGACTATATACGCAGCGGACAGCAAGCTCGTTTGTTAAATTTTTAACGGTATGATATTAAAATGAAACAAAAATAAATAGTAGGTATGGTTTTGAAGAAAATGAAAGTTTAGTACTAAAAGGGGCTAAAACTAATAGTTCAGGTACTAAACACGTAGTTTACTCTTTATTTTATTAGATAAACTACCTATTTGATCACCCATCTATTATTAGTTTCTATTTTAGTCATTCAACTATTATTTTTTAAAAATAATACTTAACGTTACGTTTTTATCTGTCTTCGTTATGACTACTTAGCAGAATTGGAGTTTAAGAGTTCATGTGCATACATACCGCTGTTTATCAGGAGGAACAATAGGGTTAATATGTACATGTTAGTTTTTGTTGATGATATAATAATAACAGGTCAGTTAGAAGCAGAGTTAGAAAAAGTTGTTGGTCACCTAAGCTCTGAGTTGTGCTTAAAAGATCTGGATGAGTTAAGCTACTTTTTCGGCATTGAAATTCTAAGGAAAGGCAGGGTATTGTTTTTAAATCGAAGGAAAATTGTGCTAGACCTGCTCAAGACCAAAATGGACAAAGCAAGACTGACCCCTACTCCCATGGTTGCATCTGTTAAGTTGAATCATAGCAACAGTGGAAGGCCTCCTGAGGACGCGAAGGGTTATAGGTTCGCTACTTTATGCATGTCATATGAGACTTGACATTTCGTTTAACGTCAACAAGGTAGCGCAGTTTATGTATGTTCTGTGTGAGGGGCATTTAACAGCTGTAAAGAGAATCTCAAAGTGGTACTGTTGATTATGGGTTGGTTTTTGCTGCCTCGGAGGAATCGTCTACCTTAGTGGCTTATGCTGATGCCGATTTGGAGAGTGACGTGGATGATAGGAAGTCAATCTCGGGTGTCACTGTGTGTTTCTTGGTGGAAGTCTTGCTGCATGGTGTTCGAAAAAACAACACTCGATATCTCGTCAACAACAGAGGCGGAGTTAGAAGCATAACCAATGATACAGACGAACTAACATGGGTAGATCCATTGCTTTAGGATATGGGTGTAGCATGAGAAAAGATATCAATCGTTCGGAGTGATAATACGAACCTCATAGCCACGAGCAAAAATCCGGTGCTTCATGCTAAGTTTAAGCTTGTTGAGCTTGATATATACTTTATTAGAGAAAAGGTTGTCACAAGAAGTGTTCAAATCAATTATGTGCCTATCCAAGTACTATTTTTCTGCGTTTAGAAGCAAATTAGGAGTGAAGGAGCAGGGAGAATGTTGAAGTATGTTGTTGGTCTTATTAGAAGTGGGATGGTTAAGGTGATTGAAGCAGTTTTATAGTTGAGTTGGATGAGCTGTAGAGAGTTGGTCACGAGCTTGTAGTATAAAAGTGGTGTATGTGTAATCAAACATGAGTTTTTTTTGTTTTTTTGTTTTGGATAAATTTACATGTATATATCTAAAGAAGCAGCAATCTGCTACAAAATAAACAAATCACGCCAAGCTCGCAACCATATACCAACTATGTAATTCTCCAATTTATACAAAGTTGAACATTCACCCTATCTCTCATATCTACCAACAAGCCTATTTCTTATAAATTTACAAATGTCATTCACAATGTCTTCACCTCCTAAACTGACATTTCGGAAAATTTGATGGTTCCTCTCCTTCCAAATAGAGTAGATAAACTCACTCCAAGAAAATCTCAAAATCAGAGTAAGAAGAGACTTACCGCGAAGGTACGAGTTCGCGCAAGCCAACTTCTCTTCCCAGCCGAGAACATGTCTATCCAACCTACATAAGACTGCAAAAGAGCACTTAAAAAAATAAATGGTTCCTGCTTTCATTAGCCGAGTCACAGAGGACACAATCACAATCAACCCCATGTGAACTAATCTATCTTTAGTTGTCAACCAGTAAAGGATAGTCGTCCAAGTAATCAACATATGCCTCGGAACATGCAGAGAGAACCAAGTAATCAAACATGAGTTGTGGTTGTAAAGATTGAATAAAAAAGATGATCGGTTCTCTTCTTGGTTAGCTGTACATGGTTTCTTGTTTGTACAGTTCGTCTTTATTGCTTCTGTTTCTACTTGTTGCTGCAAGGTTTGACACCGGTATTACAATGGTGTCTACTGCATGTCTATGTTCAATAGGGTATCATAATCACCAATGAGTTTAGCTTTCTCCCAACTACCTTATTTTTATCTGTCAAAATAGGGAAGATAGGGTATGGCCACCAACATTAACCCCTCTAGCAATCAAGATTAGCTCGCCTGAAAAAAAAATAAAGTCAATTAAAATCCAATGACCCAAACAGACAAAATTTACATGCATGCAAACCGAACTAAAAGAAAATTACATGCATCAGATGCATGCAAACCAAGTAGTCATTTATTTTGTTGTTGTTGCTTGTTGAAGGGCGCCCAATTAGGTGTGTTAGTCCATCTCCTTTTGTATTCTTTCTTCACATAAGGTATCCCAGATTTTCCTCTCAACTTTCACCTTTTTCTGTTAAATGGAATTGCTCGTGAAGTCACTGGTTTCCGGTGGCAGGAAACCTCCTTACAGATTAGAAACTTGAAATTTTTCTTACAAGTTGAGCACCACATTTGAAGACTACTTCAGGATGATTTTTTGCGGTGGTCGGAATCGAGATAGACCAGCAAAGTTCATTTTGGAGGGTGTGGATTGTGAAGCTAGGCCTGGACAGATTACTGCAATAGCAGGACCGAGTGGTGCAGGCAAAACTACGTTGCTAGAGATTCTTGCCGGAAAGATACCGCCTTGTGAAATGTCAGCAGGGGACGTTCTTGTCAATGGCAGGCCCGTTGATGTTAAACATTTTCGGAGAGTTTCGGGATATGTTACTCAAGACGATGCGCTGTTTCCGCTGCTTACCGTCGAAGAAACACTCATGTATAGTGCACTTTTGAGGCTACCGGAAGGGAAGAAGGAAGCTGATTGTAGAGTGAAATGGCTGTTGAAAGAGCTTGGATTGGAGCATGTGTCGGGTTCAAGGATCGGTGAGGGATCGAGCAATGGCATTTTGGGTGGAGAAAGGTGACCAGTATCGATCGGATTCGATTTGGTACATGACCCTGCTGTTATCTTGATTGGTGAACCAACTTCAGGGGTTGGATTCTGTTTCAGATCTTCATGTAGTGACACTGCTGAAATCAATGGCAATAAATCAAGGAAAGACTATTGTTTTAACCATCCACCAACCTGGTTTCCGGATCCTCGAGCTGTTCGGTCACATCGTTTTGCTTTCAAATGGATTCATTGTTCATATCAGAGAACTAAATCGTCTTGAAGAAAGGCTAAAGTTATCTGATCATTGACTCCATCGGCAAGTCAAAGCCCTCGAATTGGTCATCGACGTTATAGAAACCTTAGCCGTGCCAAATCCAAGATCTCTAAGCAACATAAACCAAGAAGGTTGTCGAAGAAGGAGCCCTGCCGATGTCGAAAGAGAGCTAACCGTTTACCCGAATTCCCAATTCTACGAGGACTTGATATTAGTTCAGGGATTCTGCAGCAACATATTCAGAACCAATTTGCAACAAGAGTCATACAAGCCTTGGTAGCTGGATTTGTACTAGGAACCATGTACTTCAACGTTGGAAATTATAAAGGAAGAACCTCTCTACAAACTCAAACCAGCTTTTTCTCCTTCACGCTCACTTTCTTGCTATCCACGACAACCGAAGGACTGCCGATTTTCTTGCAAGAAAGAAGGATTCTGATGAGAGAAACATCAATTGGAGCTTACAGCGTTTCCTCTTACGTCTTACCCAACACCATCGTTTTCTGCCGTTTCTTTTAATGATCAGCATCCTCTTTGCTTCATCAGTTTACTGGCTCGTCAGCTTGAGATGAGACGCCACCGACGGATTCCTTTACTTCTACCTGGTGGTCTGGATGGTCCTTCTGATGTCCAATTCATTCGTGGCATGTTTCAGTGCACTTGTGCCGAATTTCATCATGGGGAACTCGATGATTGCTGGTTTGATGGGGTCTTTTTTCATGTTTTCAGGGTACTTTATAGCTAAAGATAAGATACCGAATTACTGGGTTTTCATGCACCATTTGAGCTTCTTTAAGTACCCATTTGAGTGCTTCATGATAAATGAATATGGAGGGAAACAAGGAGAAAAGAGATGCATTGAAGTAGAGAATGGTGAATGTAGTTTGTTTGGGAGGTGGTTCTTGAGACAACAGGACCTGGAAGATTCACAGAAATGGACCAATCAGGGTGTGGCGCTGGCTTCATTGTGGGTTATAGAGTGCTTTGTTTATTGATTTTGCGATGTAGATGTTACAGAGCAAGAAACTAGATATGTGACACTTCCTTTTTCATTTTATTATACCATCAATACATGTATGTAAACTAATTCAAACGTGATAGGTTATGGATCGGGATCCAATTATGGTCTTCCCACTTTAGAGACCCTTAGCTTTTTTGTCAGTTCCAAATCCATTGAAATCCATCCTTTCCTTGACGAAAGACTGAAAAGGTGACAAAATAACCCTTAAATTAACATTACTCAACTATATACATATCATGAAACTAAT